TATCTTGTAAAAACTCAAGAGGACTTCTGAACTGATCCAGAAAATAGCAAGAACAATAAATACAGTGTTTGAAGTGAGGATAGGAGTATTTTGAGGGAATTCATGGCAAAGTATCTTTTATTATAATAAATTTTTTAAGGGCCGGGGAGATGGCTCAGTAGAATAAGCGCTTGTCTGGCAAGCATAAGGGCCTGAGTTCAATCCCCGGTTCCACCAAAAAATAAAAAATAAAAGATGCAATATAATAAATTTTTTAAAACTTCACTGCATTTTCTTTTCTTTTCTTTGTTTCTTTTGGTTGTTGTTGTTTTGGGTACCAGGAATTGGACTTTCAGCCTTGTGCTTGCCAGGCAGGAGCTGTGCCACTGAGTGGCATCCCCAGCCCTTCACTGCATTTTCTAATCACACCTCATGGTTGTCTGTGAGTTCTGGGAAAGCGCTCTCATCAATTATCCAGCTTTAGTGTGGTCTTGGGAACCCTCCACCCCCGAGATTGGAACTGATGTCAGCGTTTACAGCAGCTGGCTTTTGGTTACTCGAACAAACTCCTGAGATGATCAGCTTCTAAGAGAAAAGGTTTATTTGGCTCATGGTTTTGATCCATGATCAATTGGGCCCACTGCTGTGGGCCTCCGGAGGCACAGGACATCATGGTGGCTATGGCAGGTGAGGCCAGTTATGGTTTGTGTCTAGGTGTCCCCCAAAAGCCTCATGAGTCATGTGGCAGGCTTCTAGAGTTTAGGATTAATTCATTGTCCAATGCTGAGATTATGGGTGTGAGTGCTACACCTGCCCGGGGGTGGGCAGCCTGCATACAATATAAGGGAGGAAAAGAGGCTCGCTCTCTATGGCTCCTCCCTTTCGCTCTTGTTGCTTTTGCTCCTTTCTGCCACCATGAACTATTGCCCTCTGCCTGTGCCACTCTGCCTTGGAGCCAACTGAATATGGACTAAAACTTCTGCAAACTGTGAACTCAATAAATCTTTTCTTCCTTAATTCTGGGCATTGAGTATTCTGTCTCAGCAATGAGAGAAAAGTAACTTAGACAAGGCCTCATCACCTCATGGTGAGGCAGAAAAGAACAAGGGCAGGGTCACACAGGGGCTCCACGCAAGACCTCCCATGAGGCCCCACTTTTTAAAGGACCCAGCACCTCCGGATAGTGCCACATGGAGGACCAAAACTTTAACACCTGGCCACTAGCGGGGCAGTCCGGATCCTCACTACAGCAGAGGTGAACTTTTGTAGGGAGGATTGTGCTCTCCAGCTGAGCAAGTAGCCCAACACCCAAAATTAGTGTCAGAAGTCAGGGCAGCGAGCCTTGAGCACCATTTCCTCTAATTTCAGAGTCAGCTACTTCTATGTTGCTGAAAACTCTATATATTAAATCTGTGACCCTCCCAAAATATTTTTTACACACTATTGGTCTGCAGCATGAACTGAATATGAAGCTTATACATTGTCTGTTATGGAATGTTCTGGGACTTTAAATTCTAAAATGGAATTTTCTGGTGGGGATCGTAGCATAGGCTTGTAATCCCAGCAATTTAGAGGCTGAGGCAGGAGGATCACCAGGAGTTCAAGGTTAGCCTAGACTATATATTGACTTTGGAGCCCAGCCTGAATTATATAGCAAGACCCTATCTAAAAACAAAACAGAACAAAACAAAAATATATATATAGTAATTTTCTTTTAAATTTGTATAAATATTTAGGTATTATTTTGTTCTTAGGTTCAAGATGACACACAACATAAACA